GAGGAACTTTGCTTCAAAATTGGTATCTAGGGGTCTTTGTGGACCGACATTATATGAAAGGGGATATTTTTGATGTTTTTAATGATCATTTTTTTCATCTTATTCTTGTAAATGAAGTTTTTGAAACTAGATTTATATTATTTCATTATTTGACATATCCCAACCAAAAAAAGTTAAAAAAATGGCAACCTCATTTCTTATTGAATATTGTCTGCATGCAACGCAAAAGAGCCTCGTGCAAATAAAATTAATCCAAAACGGAAATCATATTCTTTGTGTGACGTAAGTTAGTTGTTAAGTGAGCAATAACAGATTTAATACCGGTTGCATAAGACATGCACTAGACTAATTATTTAGTATACAAACTGAACATTGAGCAGAAAGCTCAAGAGGTCCCATATGCAGAATCTTTGTGTGATGTAAATTAGTTGTTAAGTGAGCAATAACAGATTTAACACCGGTTGCATAAGAATAACTATTTAGTATACAAACTGAACATTGAACAGAAAGCTTTTTAATCTGTTGATCACAGAATGAATATGACTTACGACACATATATTTTTGAATACAGTTTTTTTTCATTTACATTGATGATTTTCCGCAATTATAGAATTCGTCAGTATGAATTATTATAAAAAAAAACATAATGTCGTTCCTCAAAGACCCCTAGATACCAATTTTGAATGAAATCACATAATAATATCAAACCTCAATCGTAATTATAAATATTCATGATTTTTAATCGAAAATTCTTTATTGAAAAATTACTTATACATGTCAAGTTTCATCATGATCGGTTGAGCGATGTAGAAGTTTATCACTTACCAACTAACCAACAAACATCCATTTTTATATATTAGATAACATTCTTCCGATTATCAACTTACATCAACTGTGAACAAACTCTCCATAACCCCTCATTACCCGCTACCCCCTCGCCCATAAATTGTACAGAAAAGGATAGTACGATACCCGCTTCAAAATACATGTATTGTATTGGTAGGTATAGGCATGGCAACTCTTTGTCTTGATATTACTCAGAGGTTATATGATGTGACCATTTTGTAATGCTTATTTATTTGTTTAGCAGATATAAGATGGACATATTTGCTTTTGGAGAATTAGAGGAATGAAAAAGTCATTATTTATTTTCTGTTTCATGGATTACGGATTTTGAATAAAACATGTTGTTTCAGTGACCAGTCTCTGCGAGAAAGCGGCTCATTTATCTATCCTTATTTTCTGAAATGCATTACCTTTATCTATCAAATGTCACTTTTTCTGACAGAAATGTGATACCAAATTTTTCCTGGTGGAAAACAGATAAGTATCAATATGGTTGTATTTCTGATACAAATGTCGATGTCTAATAATACAACAGTGGGGTTGTATCTAATATGTGACAATACGTTCGTCATTATAATTATTATCGTCATCAACTGTACCACTGAACTTGAATAGTAAACTTATACTCCAAACCAAACGTACTGTACTCAAAAACATAACCACTTTACAAATTGTTAGTTTCACGACAATCGCTGATAATATTGAACGCTTATTGTTTATGGGTGTTTTTGATGATCTCTAATAGACAATTTTATAAATAAATGCAGAGCTTTAAATTACTGTATACGAAGATTTATGAAAAATAAAGAACATAAAGGCGGTAAAAAATAATGAGAAATCGTCATGGTTCATAGAACTCATTCCATATTTTTTGAATACTGAGGTTTCGAAGGCATGTCAAATTTTGTCATGTACCGGTCTCAACAGTTTCAAGCATTCTGTGTGTGGCATGTTGGACTTCTCTGGTCTATAAAACTGAATATGTGAAACATGTTCCTTGTAGAGAGCTATTACAGTTCGTTTATTAGTTTCACCAACATACTTCTTATCGCAATCCTCACAGCTTATTTCGTAAATTATAGACTTTTCATCTTCCGTCGTCTTGTCTTTCGGCTTGCCCATCACTTGTAGTGTACAAGCAGTTTTGAAAACCACTTTCATATTAAATTTTCCAAAAAATGTAACCAATCTGTTTTTGTGTATTTTATAGTTCGAGGATTTACGAATGTACTCTCTAAATGTTTTTTTCTTAATTAACTTATCCTTATCCACTATGTTAGAAGGATGCCCGCTTTCAGCTATTTCTTTCTTCTCGATATCATACCTTTTTTTGCTCGAAGGGGAACATGACCAGCCGTGTAATCCAAACATTTTTTTGTAATGGGCAGTGTCGAAGGTGACCTTTATATTTGGGAATCTGTTGTTGAGACAAGTCAAAACTTTTTTTTTTTACAAAAATAGCAAATATACATCATCCACGTATAGGATCCAAGTTTGTGCAAAGTAATTTAACTCTTCTTTTGCTTCCATTTCGAATCTCATGAACATATTAGCATTAGCTACACTCAATGAAAAATATACAACATAATTTCACCTTTCATAATTAAAAAAAAAACAAATTAGCCATGAAAGGAGGCAACAATTTACTCATTGCCGTACCCTCATGCTGCTTGTGAAAACGGTGAACTGGAAGCAATTCTGTCCCATTTAAATTCGTCTGATAACTCCACGATTACTTCATTTTTGTTTTGATATGGGTACATTTTGAAATAACGAAGATTCATCAAAAGATAATAAAATCTCATCATCTTACATCTTTGTTTTTCTTGATGAATTCTTTTGAATTAACAACGTTCAAACTGGATTGCGGAATCGATAGGGTTTCAAACTGTTCTGTTAGCCATTTGTCTATCTTATACATAAGGGAACCTACGTTAGGGAAAAGTGTTTTCAGAAAACTCGAAAAAAAAATTCTGCATATGCAACTGCCACGGATGTTGTGTCGATAATTCTCAGGACTTCTCCAATGGTAAGGTATAGTTGGTAATTATATTTTTTTTGTCCGCTTTTTCCTAAAGCCGCTACTATTGATAAACAGCAATTCCTAAAACAATTGACTTAAAAAGATGTTTACCGTTTGTTATAACCATTTTTTCATTTGTTGTACAAACTATCGCCCTCATCGGTAGACATTTTCCCTATCCTGGAATTAAACACCTCTGCCCCCTGGTATTTATTTTGTTAAGTGTCAAAAATGTCGTTGGATTTAAATTACTTATAATTTTATTACAATTATTTTAGTACATCAATGAAAATATCACTTACGTGACAATGGTGAAGCAATTGAGATAATATACAAATATACAATCCAATTAATTATGGAAATTGAGAGAAAATCAAAGTATTTTTGTGTTTAGGTAACTTTGGCGGGTTTTATACAAACAATAGTTTAATGGCCGCAAATGTATAGGGTTCGGATGGAGTTGTGTCAAGATCGAAGACGCTACGAATAGTAAGTGAATCTGAGTTGACCAGTTTTTGTTTTTGTAATATCGTTGAAAAGAAAATGAAAAGTTGAAGTTTCCAAAATACCTTCTGGAGTCCTATATTTATTTTGGGTGTGAACAGCAAGGTGTATGTTTGTGTTGTAGTGATGTTTGAGATTGTTGTCTGGAAGTTACTTCGGAGTTTAACACCTTTTCCATTACAGAAATATATAATTTTCTTTCAGTTCAATTCGATATGTTTGTTAGTTGTAGTAAAAGTCTCGTCTGGTTCTCACCTCAAAAATGACGTCTGCAAATAGTCTAACAAATCCGTTGAAGAAAAACATTCTTCAACAACAAACTGCAGTTCCTGATAGCACAACCTCTGTAGAAAAAGAAATGTCCGAGTTTTCGATTGGACAGGATGTTCTTGTGAAACAAAAAGATGAGAGGTATTATTTTGGAACTGTTGTCCAAGTTAATAGCATAAGAGAGCAGTGTTTGGTGAAATTTGGAGACAATACTTACAATTGGTCTACTTATAAGGACCTAACAAAGTTGAGTACTCCAGAACAGGAAGATTTATTGTGTGTTGTATGCAAAAAATCGGCTCCCAAGAAAGAGCAAGAAATTACTGTTTGTGATCAATGTGGTAGGGGATACCATCAGAAATGTCATCAGCCAGAAATACCTATTAGCTGCCAAAAGGAGGGTGAGTAATTACCTAATGCTTCCATTGTATTAATTTTTTTTTCATAATAATCATTTAATTGATAGAACTTTCTGTTCATATAGGTTTTGTCCAATAACTGATGGTTTTTTGATTTAATCTTACCAAATTCTGAGCATGAGTCTTAGCCCCAAGTCAAGACAAACAATTGCAGCTATATACCGCTGGTTGTCATTCTCAGTCAATTATATTTTAGTCAGCGTATATGATTCTTACATTGAATTATAAACACCATTTCATATTTACTAAATTAGCCGTAGAAGATGAAGTATCACATCTGAAAAGAATTATTATGAAATTTATTATTATTATTGTGAATGTCTGTACTCGGGTTGACCATGGTAATGTTTCTAATGCTCTAATGCAGCACTTTTGTAGCAATAATGTTGAATCATTAATAATTGACGAAAAGAATCTGTCCTCCTTCAAAGTGTTTATTTTCTGTCATTTGAAAAATAATTTGTTTTACTCAAAAGCACAGTGATAAATGGAGTAGATACCAACTTAATTATTATTATTTGAAAAATGTTGATTAGTATCCATTTAGAAAGTACATTGATGGAAGATTTCAAGTCACGAAAATATGTTTGGTTACTTCAATTACCTACATTTCAATATGGTGATTATAAAATAAATCCACAATATTCTGCTGAGTAAGCTCAAATTTTATTTATTTTTAAGGAAACATATCTATGATGATATTGATTGACATTACTAACTACAAACCACCAATTAAAACATAACCTCAATCCAAGGAATGCCAACTGAATGCATGTTTATAAATGCATTTGTCTAAATCTGCAAGTGTTGACTAATGACTAACAACTTGAATCTGAACCTACAGTTGATGAATACACTCACTCACACACATACACACGCACACATTCCTACGCACACATGGAAGACCATTCTTTTTTCTAGAATTTTACAAGCTTCATTACAGGGAAAATCAAATAGATAATTTGATATACATTTTCTGGATAGAAATTAACAAAATAATTGGTTCAAATATATAATTTTCAATATGGATCCACCTTATACAATTTTTCATTTAATTCAGTCCAATTTTGAGTTCTCAAAAGGTTCAAACTACCTTCCTTACATTCATGAATGTTTTGTTTCATTAATATTAAATTTGAGTTGGGAAAGTTCTGTTTGTAATCAGCCACAGGCTATTTTTGTTTTTATCAATTTCCTCAAAGTAGGATGTTTTCTCTTCTTTTTCAGTAAATTAGTAATGTCATTTCTTGCTATTTTGAAAATTTCCTATTTTTCATTTTTATCATTTTGTGAGTCTTTGGAGCTTTTGTATGCTTTATCAAGCTGTTTAATTTTATTATGCACTTCCTGATCAAACCATGATTCATGAACTGAAATGCGTGTCCTTAGAGGATGAATGTTGTCAAATACTATTTCACAGGTAGAGAATATTTCTTCATATATGTGAGTAGTATCATTTGAATCTGAATTAAGTTTGATTTCATCCATATTTTTTTTCATTGAGATTCCTAAATGTTAATCACTGTTTTTTAATACAATAATGGTGATCAAAGAATGATCACTTATTTTCGGTGTGGGATGGACTTTAGCAGAGGCATATTTGTGATCAACTAGAACATACTCTATCAGTGTTATTCTGTCATAGTTATTCTAGTAGTATTGCGAAAGGAGATTTTTGAATTTAACTGTATAGAAATTATCACTTAACAGATAAACGTTGAAATCACCTTCCAAGATACGCCATTTACAATTTAAAAGTAACTAACAACCTATCAACCATTGATTGGGACAAAAATCTACTTTAATAGTTTTACATCAATATGCATTATCCAGTACAAAGGTTCCTTAAAAAGAATAATCAGCATTTGAATTGACGTAGATGATGATACCTCCTCTATGCCGACCTCTAGAATCACACCTGACCAAATTGTAACCATCTATTTCAATTTCAGAACTCTCAATTTCATAAGTTATTCTTGTTTCTGTGATCAAAATTCATTTGGACAAGAGTATAATATAATACCACTGATTTGGTCCATTTTATTTAGCAAGCTTTAAGCTTTTAAGTAAATAATGTCAATATTGAATTGTATATTAGGGTAACAGTAGGTATATTTTATGGAATTCAGTATTATAGACCACAAGTTGTTGGCAGAAAATCTGTATTGGTATGGTATCAGGGGCTCTTTCCTTCAATAGATTATTTCTGATCTATCTAACAGAAATCAGTTTGTGCAAATAAATATGGAAACGGGAAGTTCATATTTATTCTAACAGATCTCCCTGTTCTTTCCTGCTCCAGGTTATTAGTCACTGAGATTTTGACATTTTGAGTATGTTCTGTGGACTCTGTACCATTTGTCCTGCATATACTTCCAATGTAAATGTAAAACCATTTGTGATATTGTCTGAATACTAATCTCACCCTGAAGTATCCAGTTTGTTAACCGCTAATTCTTTTCGTGCCCCCATATTTCATTGATATGATTCAATTAATCTATTGAAAATACTTTCCGAACACCAGAACAAAATTTACGGCCTTTCGTAATTTTTGTTCAAATTAATAATAATAGTATTTATTTCGCACAAGGGCAAATTAGAAAATTTGTATAGTACAAGTCAAAAGGAATAGTGTACATTTTCATCCCATTACATCGGGAAGTGATTTGTTAAAAAGATTAAAAGGATTATGAACAACATAAATATATCATATTGCTTGAGACAGTTACCTCTAGAAAGTGCCCTCATCCACATCTTCTGCTGCAATGAGCATTTGTTTTAGTTTGTGTTTAAATACATTGTGCACTTTAATGTCCTTTATGTTTTGAGGAAGTAAGTTGTAAAGTTTTAGGCATTTATAAAAACAGCCTTTTTCTAGCAGTGTAGTATTATATTGAGGGTAGCAGAATATATTCTTATTTACTGTGTGGTGCGAATGGTCATTTCCATAAGGTATGAAAAGTGATTTATTTTTGAAAACATAGTTCAGACACTCAAACACATATACAGCTGTTAAGAGTTAGAAGGTTCAGATCCTCTACAAGATTCATTTACTCTAAGTCCAGCTATAGAATTATAATTACTCTCTTTTGGATTATAAAGGCCACCCCAGAATATAATTCGGTAGCACATGATGAAGTGAAAATGACCGTAATATGCCGTTCGTAGGGTAGTCTGATTGACGACTTTTTGGAGTTCCTTCAGAGAGTAGAAAACTCTACTAAGCTTGTCGCAGAGCAGTTGAATGTGTCTATCAATGATGACCTCCAGGAATTTGGTGAAGTCGAGAAAGGAGATTTGTGTGTTATCGATTTCAAATTAGTTTATTTGACACAAATAGCTGAAAGCATTGAATTACAGAAAAAATATATGCAATTATGAGTTACACTACTGATCTGGTTATAGCACAATTTTTTTAGACTCCTGTGACATCATGTTAAACTTGATGGTTACCAGATGGAATCTGGAGACGGTTATCTTCAATTTCCATATTACCTTCTTGTAACGTACCAAAAGAAATATCGGCTCCTCAGCTACAGGGTTGTATTTTGTCTGTCAGTGCTGCCATCACTACTAAAATATATTTCAACACTAGTCTCCGCATCAATTATGTTTAATATATGAATCAAGTTCTCTACCGAGTAATGGTCTTTTTCTTTCAAATTTTGATGGTCTTTTCTCCATTTCGATCATAACCTATACAAATATTCACCCACTATTATGTTACCCAAAAAGAGTGAAGGCAATGTGATACCTTTTCATGTAAATCAATATGTCAGTTTTGAATTTGACAAAACTTTTAATTTGTTTTGATTAACTTACTGAATATTTTATTCTGAACACGCAAACACATGATTACTTTGATCGTCCGTGGTCATTGTATAAAATTAGCAATACCGTAGCGTCATCTACCCATGGTCGTACAAATGAAAATAACGTTGAATTTTTTTTCTTTAAGTAATTTTATTTTGTAATTTTCTTGGATATTTTCCACACTGATGCATCTTCAATTGTAGCTTTGTCCTCCTGACAATACTAAGTGGTCATTGCGCTGCATATTAAAAATTCAATATAGTCAAATAATTTTTAAAAAGAAGGAAAAGGCAATGAAAGTTGGAAGAATTAGTAAAATTTTGATGGTTTAAAGAAATTTATTTTGAAAGGAAATCAGTTATTGGCATCATTTTTTTAAAAATATTATAAGTGAACAATATTTTTGGAAAAGAAAGTTTTTGGCTTTCTACTACTCCATCTTGATACGTGTAATTCTATGTTTATATGAAAGTAGCTGTTTCAGGAGGGCTTTCTTCCAGTTTGTGTCTGCAAGTTACTTCTTTGCATGATCTTTTTAAAAATATTATAAGTGAACAATATTTTTGGGAAAGAAAGTTTTTGGCTTTCTACTACTCCATCTTGATACGTGTAATTCTATGTTTATATGAAAGTAGCTGTTTCAGGAGGGCTTTCTTCCAGTTTGTGTCTGCAAGTTACTTCTTTGCATGATCTACACACCCATGTATAGAGTTACTTATTTTCAAATTGATTACTTCCTTCCTTTCTTTGGAACATTCCCATATTTTTTTGTATCAAGATGTATAAAGCCAAAAATTTTCATTCCCAAAAATTAATCACTCCTAAAAAATATAACCCCTTCAATTTGAACAATATTGTATTGAAGAAGACAATATTTAGAAAATTTTTCGAACATTTCAAAACAATCTGCAGATACATACGAACATGGTGCTAGATAAGATCAGATTATGGAAGGACATCCCTATCAATATGCTATTTCCCCAAAGTTGTTCACACTAGTTGAAATAGTTCGGAAGGGGTTTCACAAAACTGTTGGGTTATGATTTCCTTTTCTGCTCCCTGTTTTCAATTACTCTCACTCAGGACTGGCCAAAGAACTCAATTTTCTTGATTTGGGATAGAAATCATCCAAGAATGTGGTATTGCAAAACGTCAACCCTATTTTTGTCACTTTCTCTTGACATTTTTACTACTTGAAACTCAAGTATAGCGGTCCAGATCAGGTGGCAAGAATGAAACTCCCAAAAACTCAAAAAACTATTCGGTTTGCAGCGGAGCAGGCAAAGAGTATGTGTTAACTATCTTCTGACAATCCAAGTCCCTACATATGATGATTCAGAAGATTACACCCTGTAAGTGGGCCTAAATGACCTCCAGACAACATAGGTCATTCCTACTGTAGTTTAACAATTGTTTGGTACCAAATTTCACATGATGTATAAATGTCTGGGAATGGTCCAGTCTTGATTGATTTTGAAAGTTATCTGAAACTCTTCTTGAAGTCCGAGTGTTGAGTGTTTGTTTGGCAAAGCCTAAGGTGGTACCAATGCCAGTTAGCCTTAGTTATCTATATGCCGGTGATAATAGCTTAGTGATTGCAACAGGGAAAGAGGCAGTGACATCCAAATAATACATTTGATTCGCAAATTTAGCTTATTGACTAGTTTTTTTTTATATTGACATTTAGATTGCACAATCTTTGGTTCTTCGTTTCTATAGGTTATCACAATAGATTACTGTGGTTACTTAAGAAGTTCAGGTATTCCAAATATTAGCACCTTTCTTCATGATTGTCAATATTTATTTAAATTGGTCTATACTTGTTTGGAAGATTATTGCTTTTTTTTAAGGTATTTGCTAAAATTGGCCATTGGTGACAGTTTTTAACATAGAAATTTTTTTCTAGACTTTGTGTGTGTTTATATCGCTATTTTAAATAATAAACTCTCTCAATAAAATGATTGATTGTAATAAAATATCATAACATGAGAATGAAGAAACTTTTACTTTCTATTACACATTTATATCATAAAAAAAATACTAATATATTGATTTTTAGGTGCTACATGGATGTGTAAAAGATGTGTTGAAAATGACCCAAACAGACTGAGGAAAAGTGATCTAAAACACCAACGAAGAGATTCTTTGCGAAACTTCTCATCTTCATGCAATCAAGAAATCCAAGTGATGCCTTCTTCCACAGTAAAAGTATTTCCCTATGATGTAAGCAACAACAGTTATACACATATGTTCATATTATACTTAAAAATAGTATTTTAATATTGATTGAAGTGGAACTGACTGATACTTGATGAAGATCCATATTGAAACTTATTAATCCAGTTCATGGTGACATTTTCACTATGTAGGTTCACAAAACCGGAAAACGGTTTGCTATACAATAGCTTACTGAAGTGCAAACGATCAGTATAGCGAAACATGTGTTTCAGTTTCGCAATACTTCATATTGAAAAAAATCAAACAGTAAGATTTTTTTAAGNCAGTAAGATTTTTTTAAGGTAGAATTTTCAAAAAGAAAAGGTTGGAAATGAACTGGAGCTCATTCAGGCCCAATCCTGTTGTTTCTAGCAAATATCTATTGTAATATTGTAGCTTAAAATATTATTTTCATGTTTTTAGCTAAACACGCTGAACTGGGATACATATCATAGAGTAAATAGTGAACAAATCTATTGTTACTGTGGAGGTAACGGAGAGTGGTATAAACAGATGTTACAGTGTGGAAGATGTAGACAGTGGTTTCATGAAGGGTGTCTCGATTTCCTGCAGTATCCATTATACTGTGGTGATAGGTAAATATTGAGTATTATCTATTATTATTTAGTGTACTATGTGGCAGCTGTAATTAATTTTTTGGAAATTTGAAGTTTTATCGTGTATATCCCCAGTTCCTAATCCTGTTCTAATCAATAAAAAAAGGTAATGCGAAATTGAAAAAAAGGGACAAATGACTAGCTTCTTCCTTTAGGCGACTTTGTTATGACATATTTTTATTATTTGCACATGTTGAAAATAAATGGGTTTTCTTGAGGAAAATATTTTGACATTTTTCTTTTTCGAAACACAACCTTGACAGTAAAAATCAACAACATTCTTATTTTTTTGTAACTGAATTGAAAGTAATATTGAACAATTCAAAACAGTATTTCAATAAACTTATATTTCAACAATCTCACTAATTTATTGAAATAAACCTTCATGTTCACCTCCTAGTTTCTCACAGATCAAATCAAATCAAAATATACTTTATTGTCAGAAGATTTTGTATCCAATCGACAAAGCTTTGTAGGTATAAATATTAGCATAACTAATGGTGTATAGATAAAAATTGGCAATTAATAAAGGTTTGAATAAAACAGGTACAAGTACAATAAAAATAAATATAAAATGGAATACACTTTTAAAATGATTCATTGAAATACTCTTGCAAGCTATAATAGGGTCTATCAGCTATCAAATTTCTACCTGCTTTCTTGAATTGTACGTTGGTTAGATTTGGAGACCTCATATCTACTGGTAAGCGATTGAATAATTTTCCACCATTATAAAAAATGGAAGCCTTGATTAATGTTGAGTTAGGTATAGGAAGTCTTATATTAAATATGCTATTACGAGTAGCATTAGGAGAAGAAACATAGTCAAACTTCGTTTTATGTTTGTGCACCAAACATACAGTTTCAAGAATGAACAGTGCAACGACGGTTAAAATCTTATTGGCCGCAAAATAATTTCTGCATAATTCCCTAGGTTTGACTTTACAGAGACATCTTACTGCCCTTTTCTGTAATATCAACACAAGTGAGAGAAGGGTTGCACTGCATGTTCCCCAAAATGGTATTCCATATCTTATTTGGGATTCAATTAAAGCGTAGTAAACCGTTTTTGCTGTGTGAAAACCCAGCTCGTTAGAAATCACCCTCGCTGCATAACATCCGGAGGAGATTTTACTCTTGAGTTGTCTGATGTGTTCATCAAATTAGAGCCTATTATCAATATACGACACCAAGAAATTTTGTGTTCAATTTGTTTTCCAAGATATCATTGTCTATTGACAGTTCATTTAGCAGACATTTAAATTTAATTATATTTGTTTTGGAGATATTCAAGGATAATAAATTAGCATCATACCAATTTTTCACCTTTTCTAAATCAGATGATATCTTTTTATGTAGTTCTTCTGAGTTTTTTTCCTTCCACAATATCGTAAGGCCTTTCTTTTGAAGAACCAATTGAAAAAGAAAATCTACATCAAATGATACAAGAACAAAACTCTTTCATTAGCGAAAATAATTCATAAAAATGAATCATCTGAAGTACATTTCTTATAAAAACAAATATATTCTTGAAAAGAACCAATGAAAAACTCATCAATTGGCAGAATTCAAATGTTTATGATAATTCATTACCTCTGTTTAACAAATATCACTTCAATCACTTTTCAACAATTTGCCACAATCGCCAGATTGTATGGAGATTTTTCAAATTTCAATTTTAAAACAAAACATGACCATGTAGCTACCGATGAAAGTTATTCAGTGATCAAATCTCCGGAGCAATTTTTATTATTTATTCAGTATTCTGCCATTTGACTAGATATTCTCCTGCATCTGTTTTTTTCTTGATGCCTTCCCACAGACTCCTGTTATTGTCTTGCAATTTTTCGATTTTGTTCTCCCTTCTTGAAAGACGTACCAACACAGATTACTTATTTACTCAGAACATGTCTGGACCTATAACCTTCTAAAAATAACAGTTTGTCTGGGTTTCCATCAGGAAAATGTTTTCAAGTTTTATTTTTAATACAAATCTGACAGTAAAAATCAACAACTGATTCGCTTTTGTTTTGTCAATTTTTTTTTCCAAATGTAAACATTGATGTGGGCTAGCGCTTCTGCCAATGGATCGCTGAAGTACGTTAGATCTCTATTTTATGAAGAATCAAGAGAGCCATAGATCGCGTGTTTTTGTCAACATATTGTACATAGGGAGGGGTCCAAGTGTTTACACCATGATATGATGCATCTTGTTTGTAATCAACTGAAAAGTAATGTAAACAGAAAAATATTTCAATGAATTCATATTTTAACAGCAAACTTATTTAACTTACCCTAATCTGAAATTAAAACTGAATTTTGAACCAGTTTACCTCGACTAATTGAAATGAAATTTCACACACACGGTTGGTTCTTGCGGGATCGCAAGTTGAAAGTTAAGACTACGTTAATCATTAGCTTGCACAAGTTTTAAATTCTCTGGTTTGTGACTCTTAAGGAGGCTGTTTAATGGACAAATATTTTAAACAGAGTTTAAAACCAAAATGGCGGATGTCCCAAAACAGCGATTTATCATTTCAATAGTAACTCCTGATGTTATCCAATGGAAGGGTATGAGGAGCCAACACTAATACTCACACTAATATTCTCATTGTTGCAGATATCGTTGATTCTCCTTTTTTTCTTGTAGACAAATAGTGTACCAATTTAGAGGGCTGCCACTTTCATGCCATTGCTCTCCAGTTTATTGAGAGCATTTTTTAAACTTTAGTATTGACAGTCAATATGTCAATATACCTGAATTTGTTAAAATTGTTCGTATTACTACTACCACTAGTACTGGTAGTGTCCCTAATATTTGAGTGATAACTGAGAAATTTCAATATTATCAACAACTCCATGATGTTTGGGAAGAGTCTTCACCTTGACAACAGTATTGATTCATTTAGTTATCTTTCGTCAATTTAGGAAATGTAAAATTTTTGTAAGAAAATTTTCAAATTTATCGTCGGTCTGTGTCCCTTCAGTTCAGCGAAGCTAAGATTTTGCACAGATGATTCTTCTGTTGATTGGAACAAGATAGGAGCTTTAAGAATTACTTTTATAAAGTTCAAAAATAAAGACTGCCTTACTATATGTTCTGAGTACTAGTCTTAATTTGCATGTGCTCTCCTCTATCAAATTTTTGATTTGCATTCTTGCACTCCTTGTGAAGCTTAGGAACATAACATATAAGAAACAATCATTTGTTAATCATAACTGGCACTTGAACTATTGAAGAAAGCAATTAATTTTAAAGTGAACTCTTTACAAAGATGTGTAAATAATGCATAGAAGTTACCTTCAGATACAAACTGGAAGAAAAAGCCTTTTCGAAACAATTACTTCAATATGAACATTGAATTATACAGAAAACATTTTCCTATTCATTTTATACTACAAATATTCGTTATGAAATTGAATCATTTTTTAGGTTCTATGTATTTGTATGTTCGATATGCAATCATGGAAAAGATTTTCTGAGGAGGTTAGAGATGAAATGGGTGGATCTGGTACATTTAATGATATTTAATTTAACCGCATATAACTCCAAAAAGTATTATGATTTGGATACTGTCGTCATTCCTTATATTAATGATAATTGGCATGCACTACAGCTACCACCAAAGGTAAGTTTAACGCATTTTTTACACACTTTATATTAGCTTCACTTGTATGTATGTATGTATGTATGATTGTTTGTATGCATGTTTGTATGTAACTCTCAAGATCGGGATCTGTATTGACAAAATTATCGGCATTATTGCTTGATCTATTCGCGGGCAGATGGCGCTGTACGTAACTATCAATTATTGCTTGATCTATTCGCGGGCAGATGGCGCTGTTCGTAACCTAATTGATATTTCTTGATCTATTCGCGGGCAGATGGCACTGTACGTAACTATCAAATATTACTTGATCTATTTGCGAACAGAAGGCGCTGTACGTAACTATCAAGTACAATCAAATCAAAATTTACTTTATTGTTGAAGATGAAATCTCATTTTTTAAGGAAATGAGTGTCTTTAAATTCAATGTATATTAGATTTCCTTATTCCGTTAATAAGTATGTATCTATATCGAGGCAAAATGTATTATTGGATGATTATTCGTTTTAATGATTCACACTTTTTTTTCAAATTTCAATTGGACTTACTTATTTTTGTCCACTGATCAGGAACTGAATATTTTTATCGACACAATTGTTTATAAAACTAAAGAAAAAAATGATCAAAAAATTATCTCTACACAAAGATGTGTAGATCATGCAAAGAAGTAACTTTCAGACAATTGTTTATAAAACTAAAGAAAAAAATGATCAAAAAATTATCTCTACACAAAGATGTGTAGATCATGCAAAGAAGTAACTTTCAGACACAAACTGGAAGAAAAAGCCCTCTCAAAACAACTATTTTCATATAAACATTGAATTATAGAAAAGAAAAATACTTTCGAAACAAATACTTAGTGTCCGACCGAAACTGGTTTTTACGACCGAAACCGAAAACGAATTTCGGCAACGGTCTCAGTTTCGGCCGAAACCGAAATTTTCTTACACGGATTATATGTTTTGAGGGAAAAATAAAGAAAACAATAATCAGTCAGTCCTAATATTCTTATCTTTAAATCACAACGTTATGCAGTCTTCGAAATTTTTACTTATTGATAATCAACATAACAAAGGCTTATTTAAGGAAAAATATTAGTTGCATTTCGAAAATACTTAAAATAGGTGAGGTGTTTATTTGAATATTAATGGTTTTTCGAAAATATTAGACATAAAATTACTTATTTAAGTTGTTACCTAATATCACAATAGGTACATAATATTTATGTAATAAACAAAGTAAATCACAAAGTAAGTCACGAGCCATGACATGATTAGGCACGTGGACTCGGCAAAATGTCTTCGTCTCTTGTATGAAATTCAACCCACCGAACATGACCGATCACAGCGCGGGAACACATGATTGCAGTTTCGGTTTTGATCGTAGTTTCGACAGGTTTGCCACCGAAACCCGTTTTTTTGCCGAAACTCGACCGAAACCGAAATTTCGGTCGGACACTACAAATACTTTTATATGAACGCTGAATTATACGAAAAACAATTTTCTCAATTCAATTTGTATTCAAAAAATTCGTAATGGAATCGAATCAGATATAATTCACAGGATTCCTACACAATATAATTAATGAAAGAAGTACAATTTCACTTGGAACACTCATCCTCACTTTTGGTCCGAACTTTTTAACTTATTTATTTCAATTTTCCCGAGAAACATAGGCTTTTTATAATAGGGAAACATTTATTTGCAAATAGCAATAGCATTCTAATTCAGGATATGTTAAAAAAAGATATATGTTTAAAATATGTTTTTCCGTTAACCAGATGACGCACCCCTACGAACGACAACTCTCAGAAGTCGATACTTGTGCGAGCTAAATACTAACGAGGTCTTACCTTTTAACGTGTGATTCCTAACACAGATCCATAAGCTATTAATGAAAATTCAGTTTGGCTATGATTTTTAGGCAGAAAAAATAACTGAATAACTTGAATTCAGAATTAGATAAGATCTGCAAAATTTTCATATCTCATATTTGATTGATAATATTGAAAACTGGATGTCCACTAGTCACGATATATATCCTATTCTTTAATACCTTTTTTGTTGTTTTTTTGTTTTGGCCAGTGGCTTTGTTAATTTTCCTATTTTTTCTTTTTTAATTATAGATTGCAAATGTAACTAAGTCTGAAAGAAGAGAGAATATTATGTCTGTCCTAACAAATAATCGTAACCGTTTCAAATGCGGGAGAGAAATTAAAAAACGTACTACTATTTGGGGATTACGGGTTCGTCTTCCCCCACCAGCGCCATGCATTACTCTTCCCCAAACTGGTCCAGTCACCGAAGAAGATTTGCAGGAACTGTGGCAAGGAAATAAAAGACTGCAGTTTTTGAGTTTAGATAAAAATGCCCCCGTTAAGAGAATAGTTGCGTCTGATACGCAAATGAAAAATATCATGATGGGAGTTTCCTATCAGCAAAATACTGGGCATTCGGAAACAGACTCACCTTGTCCCAGCCCAGAAATTGCTGTTGAAGAACCAGTAATTGAAAATAACATTGATAATATAGTACAAAAAAGAAGTTATATAGGTGCTGGATGTGCCAAAAAGAGTGTACCTTTCAAAAAAATGAGCCTGCAAAGAAGAAAAAAGTTGCTGGCCTTGAGCAGCAGAGAAAGAGATAGGATTTTGAAAAGACCCAAGAAACGGAAAATCTGCGAGGAAAATTCAAATGCCTCTAAAGAAGGACACATGAAAAGACTTAGTTTAGATAGTAAAAATAATAAAAGTAACGAAACACTGCCACCGACTCCCCCGACATCTGTAAGTGCACCTCCGACACCACCTGCTTCTACATCTTTAATATCAGAGTTGAGTAATGATTTCTCAGAAAGCTCTAATAACCAAACCAAAGTAACTAGTTCCAGAAAATCTAATTTATTGGAATTAAACTCTGAACTGAATACCCCTTGTGATACGTCGGGGGATGAAACCAGTTCCAAGAGTACCTTGGATACAATAATTCCCCCTCCAAAAGATTTTGAAGGAAAGAACAATCCGTTCTTGGCATTGTTGAGAGTTGTGTCCGAGGATGCAAATCAGAAAAGTAAAAGGAAGAGCAAAGATATTACCCTTCCTTTACCCCTGACAGCTGTGATACCCGGAAAGCCAGTGATGAGACCTATGAAGAGGCAGTTGAGTGAGAAGGATATAGTTATCGGCCCAAATGGACAAGTTAAAAGGAAACGATTTCGTAGGGGCAGGAACCCCAATATTAACTATTCCAGTGGTCAGACAGCTAGTAAATCTGCTGCTGTGGTGCCTGTAAAACCTGACAAAGAGTGGAACCAGAGGACAAGTAGCTCACCAAATAGTACCAATCTTGGTAAGTGACAACTTTTATGTAGTAAAGATGGTTCATCCTAATATGTTTCGGATTTTGTTAGTTTTTTCATGATTTTCTGCTCGGATTTTAGATAAACTCTTCAATGCATTGAACCTGTTTCTCGTTCCGTCGATGAAAGGGTACAGCTGCATAACCAATTCCTAACCCTTTGATGAATTGCTTTTATTTTTTAAAATCAATTCAATTCAATGGTGAAAAACCCATTGCTACAATTTTAAGTCAATTTCATAATATTCATCAGCACTTACTAAATTATTCTGTGAAAATATATTTTACATACCATTTGTCAACACCAATATCTGATAATTTTAATTAATTCCAATACATATTTCGAGATAGCTCCTAGTGTTTTTTCCCTTTGGTATTTATCACAAACTGTTTCTATGATGTGCTTCAATATAATCGATTCCATCAGATATTTATACTGTGTTGTTTAAGTTTTCAAAATTAAGATCCGTTTTTTTTAATGACTAGTTGAATCCATTCATGTATTCACCAGTTCTTTTGCAGTTGTGAAGTAATATGATTGTGAATTGATGCATGTAGCCATTACTATGTGGTAGAAATCATCATGTAAAATGAGAATTAAAACTTCCTGTTTTTATACCACTTTGTATTTGTAACTAATAACGTTACTGCAGTTTCGTTGTACAAAGACATTTTCAAATGAATACAATAAACTGAAATAATTAACAATATACACCCTTATATAACTATACAAACACTGTCTGTAATAACAGAATGTCCTTAATGACTTTATTACCTGAATTTTGTTTACATGTGATAATATGGGTACGATAATGTGAAAACTGGCGAGTAGACCAGGTCAATTTGGTCATTTAGTAGGTTAAACCTGCAATATTTGGGAACTTATGGTTGCATTCCAAGGAATGGTTTGAAAACGTCGAATCTCTCTCTCAATAACTCTCTCAAGCAGAAATGAGGAAGTCAGTAGTGAAAATCTCACAGTAAAGTGGTTTAGTAATTTAGACTTCCCATTAATTAAGTAAAACAAACTTCCATCTCTTTTTTTATTCTCGCTAAACAACTGAATACATTAGTTGTAATTGAGCAAGTAATGATGTTTCTAATTCATTTTCATGAAAGGTAATTGTGTGGATTATGCCTTTAACGGGCGGCGGTTGCGACAGAGACCTGAGAAGCCTCAAGAAAAAGACAAAATCTCCAATCCACCAACTCCAAAACCCAGCCCTGTCAAACAGGAACCTGACATCAGTATGGACGATCTCAAAAGTTCCGTTAATATTTATTTTGGAGCTGCGAATCGTATTGCAACAGGAGAAAGATTCGTGGTGAAAGCCAAAAGAATTGGACCCAATGGTAAAATGGACTATTTGATAGAATGGGAGGGGCCTAGTACAGGAATGACTTGATGAGCATGCATTATTTTGCTTATCCTATCCATTGTAGTGCTTTGAGGCTGTTAGGGGGGCACAGATTTTTTTTTATTTCTTTCGGCTGTTCGAGGGAGTCTACTGCTCAAAATCGTACAAAATATGTTATAGGTAAGATGTTAGGTTACCTAAATATGTGTCTTATTTCAAAGTTCTAAAAGGTTTTTTTCGATGTGGTTGCCGGAAATGTTGTTTTAAAGAAGGTACATTATTCGTTTGACGCATATTTTTTTCCAAATTATGCTGTTTCATTTTCTTTAATGATATTGTCATATACAGTGTCATCTAAAAGAATAATAGTTGAATTATTTTCTTGCATTGATGACAATTATCAGGAAATTTCTTGAAATATGTCAATTATCATTTATGAAATTATACTATTTGATACAAATATGTCAAACCTCCAAATTGATAGATATTCCCCAACATTTTCAAATACAGTGAAAGGTTTTGTTCATCAATTCATGAACATTTCTTTATTCCCATGAAACCACAATGTTTTATACAGAAAATGTATACAGGAAATATTTATAAAGGAGTATAAATATAAATTTTTAAAGAAAGCTAATTCAAAATTTCTTTAATTGATAACAAAAACGAACAAATATAATGTAAATTAATACAAAAAATAATTCTTTAAAGCCACTTAAAATTTTTCAGTTTTGGAAAATTGTTTAATGTCATTTGGTAATTCATTATAGGCAATTATTCCTTTGTAAAATATAGATTTTCTTGAAAATGCAGATATGAGATTTTTAGTAACACATTAATGAGCTATCTTGTTTGATGACCATGTACATTTGTATGGTCTATACATTTACATTTTATATTTGTATTGATTAGACAGACTACATTCATCTTAACAGCTTTGACCAGTTTGAAATAGGGTAAATATACCTGAGTTCTTTCAATATACTAATTAAATGATAGACACCAAGTCAACAGTTACGTTTTCTTAAAATTCATTCACTTTGAAGAAACTAAATATAATTTTATTAAGTGCTTTTTTTGAAGTGCAAATCTAACCAATTAAAATGATACTTTGTACAGAATAATAATGATAGTTAATCTCAATTTTGAATTTCTCACGAATTTCTAGAGAGTTTATTTCAAAATAACGTCATTCTTCATATTGGTTTCGTCATATAATTGAATTTAACTATAAATTGTGAACTTATGATGCACTGTTTGGAACCTTTGGTGTAGTAATGAATATTACTGGAGTTTTTTTTTCCCCCAACACATCGAAATACGTGTCGAGGTGTTAAAAATAACGATTTGGTGTTGGGGAAAAAAAAACTCCAGTAATATTTATAAATTGTGAAGTCAAAAATATGTTATCAAATTTATTTGTATCTTATTTTTACTAAATTCTTCGGTATAGGCTTTCTTGGTGTCTGATGAAAATCCTTGTAGGGTTTGTATCTAATTTTCTAAAACAACTGAGAAGGTTGTTTGTTGAATCGCTCTTTCTTCATTATGTCTGTGTGACGTCTACATCTCATAATCACTAACAAATTCAACTTGGGGAGTGCAGTGCAGTACAGTTTAAATTATAATTTTCAACTGAATTATCTTCAAAAGGTATACTATAAATACTGTTATTCATATATAATGTTGTTTATAATTTCCTCATCACTGCAAGCAAAATGTCTCGCAAATGAAATATCATCAACTAAAAAATCGTCCAAATATGAAGTAGAAATTATACTAAAGTTCAAACTAAAAAAGCACTTCAAGATAAATTCTAGGTATGTATAGATAACTGAGAATGGTTAATCGCCCAGTGAAATTTGTCAGTGTTTGAGACTTGAAGAATAATCGAGGAGACAATTGATCATGATATTTGTTATATAAGCCAAAGACTAGAAACAACTCTTTTTACACATAGTAAATTTCAAGATCAATGACAGGTTTTCTGCCTTTGAGTGTGGAATTTTGTTCAGTCTAATCTTTGCTAAGGTGCTTCTTATTCACAAAGATAATATTCGAGCATCATACATAATAGAGAAACTTTTTTTTTCTTTCCAAGAAAATTTTCAATACTGTAATGTATATTCTCAAAGTATTTTTAACATTTATTTACTTACTTTCTCTTACTGTTTCTAAATGATAATGGAAAGAAAAATGTTTTCCTTTTTTCGTTCTGTATCAAAATTTTTGTCTCTCAAAAGATTGTATAGATTATAGTATTTCAATTTGGAGGAAAATCCGCTGAAATATAAAAAATCAGGGGAAATAGCTGTCACTTTGAGTGGTTTGAAGTAGGGAATGATATATTTAAGTCAAATATTGTTATTTTGTCAAAATAGGCGTATTTGCAGGTTTTTCTTAAAAAATTTGTCAGAAATGCAAAATTGGATCTGTCTACTACCATTGGTCCTCACGGTATACTTGAGACTAAAGTGCAGTCCTCATATCAACACAATACATCACAACTTTACTCAACCTGAATCATTACCTATAGGAAGCTGTGATAATTATTGTAAACTACTATGAGCTTATTAGATAGAAAATTAATACTGATATGATTTAATGATAGGGAGCTAAAAGTGTCAGCAAAACTTATATAATTTTCTAAGATGAACTTTTATCACATTTCACTTGAAATTATTGTATGCAATTATTCTAATTAAAGTAATATTTTTTTAACTAAGAAAGTTACAAGGTGCATAGAATGCCTGATGTTATCAGTTGAACTTCTTTCCTATAATAATAATATTTATTACTTGAAAACACAGTTTAAACGTGTCAGCGCAATTTTCCAAAATAGGTTTTTTAAAAATATGATATAAAACAAATTGAATGCATTAAAGTTACTACCACTGATTTAATTTATAAGTTATAAGTAAAACCATTGATTTACATTATTATTCAGCATTCAAAATGCTGAACGTACACCAATTGACACTGCTTCACAACATCAAGATTCATAAAATGAATCTTGAAAGAATTTTTTGCAATTTTAGTAATTTGTGGTAATAATTGTTCATTATTTTCCAAACTGCATTTTTTTTAATTTATGGTTGTTATCAGCCTTTATTCACGAATTTTTAAGTGGAAATATAATTGCATAACTGTTAGGAAACCACAAAGTAAGACGATCTTTTTTAGGAAAAATGTGTTGCCATCACTTCAATTGCATTTTTTTTATTTAAAACATTAAACAAATTCATAAATATTAGTAGTATAATAAGTAGATTTGTTTATAAAAATATGTCATTAATTTTTATAAATGTAACTTTCTCAATATTAAAATCCTAACACACCTAAAACACCAAATTTGTGAAGACCAAATTTTATAGTAATTGATCTTTATATCCAGTCGAGAGATTTTGACAAAACAAAATAGGATTTGTAAAAACACCAGGGTTTCTATGCATCTTGTAAAATTATCTGTTAATTAAAACATAAATATTGTCCACAAAAATTCGAATCTTTATGGTCAATTCATTCAGAGGTGTGAATTTTCCCCCTCCCACTCATAAAAACCATCCTTATTTTGATTCAGAAGAAATATTCCGGACATGGCAAAAATATGAGTTTAGTTCATACACGGTGAGCAAGTTCAAACAACTACAAAAAACTACAAACTTGAAAATAATTTTGGGATGCAGGTTAAAAATTTCTGAGAATAATAAACATCTCTTACTGATAGTTGGTACTGGAACCTCTGGCATAAAATTAATCTATTGAAAACACTTTCCCAATACTAGAACAAAAAATTACGGTCTCTCTTAATTACGTAATTACGGTCCCTCGTAATTTTTTGTTCTGCTGTTGGGAAAGTGTTTTCAATGGATTTATCTCTTACTGATCCACATGCTTGTGTATCATATTCTTGCACGCTTACTTAATGATGTAATGAAAGGAAACTCCAAACCAATGAATATTTAGAATAGGAGTTGTCGGATGATTATGGTAAGTAGAGAGAAATTCGCGTAAGCCATCGTTTTCAATTCCTATAAGTGCCTCTAATGACGTGAATCGCTTCTTCCATCCTGAAAGGGTTATTTAATATCTACTTCGAAGCATTTGATTAGAAATTGTTGACTAACTAGATAGATAAAAAATACGATTTTTCTACAATGATTTGAATGAAATAAATGTTTCTTTAAACGTTCATAAATACTGCCAAAATGAAAATTAAAAAAGTCACTGCCATTATTGTTGATGATTTTTTACTTATTGGTTGTTGATATTCGGAATTTAATCTACTCCAAATATCACCTTGACCATAGATTGTTATACAAATTTCAATCCCTTAAAATTGAAGGGGTGTAATGAATGTTTTAATTTATTCAAAATGATTTTGAATGTTGCAAATGTTGTTGATATTTTTTCTCTGTAGTCGTACAATTTTTATTGTATTTTATTATTTAATGTCATTTATAGTTTTATTTATTTAACCAAAACTGCGTAATTATATTTCTAAAAATACACATTTGCATGTATCTGGAAATCTGAAGAAGTTTTAGGCTTCTTAATTTTCATCTGTGATGTGATTGAAAAACTAAAATAACTATTCTCAAAATGAACACATTGAAAAATTTGATTAATTGTAAATTTCATTTATTTTAAATGTGTAAATGATTTAAAAACAGTATCTGCCCTATTATTATCAGCTGACTTCTATTATGTATCAATAATTCAAATATTTTTGCACTTGACAGGAGTATGAAAGTTAGGGCATTCTGTGGTTTTGAAAGTACATTTAATAACTGCTTCTAGACTTTACTTTGCTGATATAAGTTTCTTATATTGATGTAGTTTCATACTCTTTATTTGTACATTTGTAATGTTTAAAGTTAATGCTTCAAGCTGTTGATTGTTATTGGTCAATGTTTATAAATGTATCAAACCCTACATCTATGTGATGGAATGTGAATCAATTGATCTTATATTAAATTGTATGTTCCAATGATGAACATTTTCCCACACATCAGGTTCTACTACACTTTTTTCAACTAGTGGTTCACTAACAAAGTTGCCATCATCAGATGATGATGAGATCATCCCCTAATGGCTCCAATTTAGTTGATAGAAATCCTGTTGAAAATGCGTTGCCTTTTTAGTGCAAGGAAAAATCGTTTTTGTTGGATTCATTCTATGCAAGAAATTACAATTCTATATTTCAACTTGTTTGAAAATAAGAAATGCTTTTTACCCAGAAAGGAAATGAAAGGAAATAACCTTCAATTGATACTATCCATATATTTTCATAATTGCAAAATATTTCAGAATTCAAGAATTTATTTGATTTTTATGTATTATTCTCAATAGAACTAAACTCCTTTTTGTGTATTTAAAAAGCAAAATATACCTTAGAAAATTTGGAAAATGAAATGAACAAATATATTTCTGCCATGACATACTTGGATAATTGCAATCTTTTACTAGAAATTATTATTAAATGTATATAGATTCCTTATTTCAAGTTATGTAATTTTATAATTCAAGACAACATGTGATCACAGTAGAACTCCAGTTATATGGATCAACCGGGACCAACTCTAGTCTTGATAATCAAATATCTGGTTTAAGATACTGAAAAAACTTCAATGTGGTATTTGCAACATCATTTCACCACAGTAAACATTTAAAGTAGGTTATTCTGAATATGGTATATAGTTGAATTTGTACAGTATAAAGATTATGATCAGAGTCAAAAAATGCCCTACTCCCATTTTAACTGTGAATACTCATTATTTTCAGCTATAATATCCCAAGGACATTGATAACTAACGAAATAATTTCATCACAGTTTTCGAAAGCACGTTATTTGGTAAAATCCCGACGCCGAAGGCGGAGGGATGTTACCTAAAATAACGTGCTTGAGGAAGTTGTGATAAAATTATGAGTTATTTATCAATGTTCGAGGGATATTCGGTGAGAAATTTTTTTGCAATTCGAACAAAATTATTTATTGAACACACAGTTATTAAAAGAACAATTCGTATAATGATATTCCGTTGATCTTGCGCTATTTGCCTCGGTTACTGCATAGGTGTTTCCACGCATACTATTGATTATTTGGTTATGATGTTCCTGATCAATATTCAAATAAGGTTTTATGGAATTTCCATTATTGTGCCCAGTAATTTTCAACAATTGCTGTTCTTGAACTCCACTCTTAGCTAGTTGACTCACTGCAGTTGCTCTATTAGAGTGATTGGTTATTTTCCTCTGTTTCGTATCCAAGCCAATTGCTTCAGCAGAAGATTTCGTCCATCCGTTGATTATATTTCTACCCAGAGGCATATTGTCATACCAGTTATCGCTTCCTGTCTTCCAGTGACGATTTGGCCTTAAAAATAGTCTGTTTGTCTTGATATTTGTGCCTCGTTTTGATAATAATTTAATGAATAATCTGACAGGACAGGCATTGTTATCACTATTTTGAACTAACCATTTGCTAGAGGCGCAGTTCTTTGAACCCCCTTGGCAGGTTTTACTGAAAATTGGATTATATTCTATCCTATTAGTTGGAGATCCATTGTTGTCCTTTTCGATATGAAAATAATCAACTAAGCAAGCAGCACCTTCACCACCTCTCCAAGCCAATTCCACCGCTACTATGTGATAAAATTTGCGTAGGAGTCCTATAGGGGTATTTTCATCCCAAAAGTTTATAATTTTACTCATTTCATTTGAAGTTAATGGTACTGAGCTTGTTTTGCGTTTACTTTGATCTGTTTATAAATTTCTTCGTGCTGCGTCTCGTGCATTCCGCGCTTGTTTGAATGCAACACTTTTAAAGGGGTCTAGCATGATATTATACTCCTTGTAATACTTTTCTTGTAATAATTTGCTTGTTATATTCCATACGTTTTTAACAGTAGCCTCCTTAAACTCTGTGCTATCCTTTTTTCTCATATTAATCGCCCAATCCTTGAGTATTAATGCAAGCTCTTCGAGAGTACGATTTCCATCCAATTCATATTTTCTGGCGTCACAAAACTCCATAAATATTTTCCAAGTGTATTTTTTACTATTGACAGTATTTTTTGGTGTATTTTCTTCAATGATTTTGTCAATTGCCGCATCATTTTGAACACCAAAGCGAGGAAGTGACATTTTCGAAATAAATTGAATTACTGAAATGTCAAACAACTTTATTGTGTTGGTTGCTTAGCATTGTCATGACATAAGTGATAACTACCCGTGAAAACTATCCATGGGTAGTTATCAGTGTAATGATGGTTTCATTGGTTATTTCGACACACATGACTAGAAATAGACAAATTTGATAGGATAATTTTTTCCCGTGAAAACTATCCATGGGTAGTTATCAGTGTAATGATGGTTTCATTGGTTATTTCGACACACATGACTAGAAATAGACAAATTTGATAGGATAATTTTTTTGGCAAAAAATTTTCAAGGTAATTTCCCCGGGAAAATCTAAACGAATAAACATTTGTCTCTCAAAGAGATCTTGATGATTGGCGATTCAGATAATTGGAGTTCTAATATAAGAAAAAATATATGCTAATATCGACAAATTTGTCAAAAACATGTAATTAGGGATTCCAAATATATATGTAGGTAATTTCAAGATGAAAGTAAAATTTGATTGGATAGTAAACTAGGAGTCATGGAATTTTGAACCAAAACAACAAATTTGCAATTCTGTATCAATCATTGCCCAAATTCCCTATTGAAACCAAAATTTCCAAAAAAATGCATACATTTTTGTTAGATTTTCAATACTTTGACAACTTAGAAAGATAAATGACTTTCAGGGTTTTGTTGCATTAAGTTGTTGGAAGTTATAGATAAAATATAGGTAATCATTTAATTGGGATGTAGATTTGATGCTTTAATTTTTACCAACTGTACAAATAAATAAATATTTTTTTCTGATTGATTAGCTGAATGAGACTGATTTCTGGGTTCAGATACTTATCATTTTTACTATGTATTATTTAGTTAAAATAACTTTGATCATTGTAAAATTTTCTGTAAATATAATTTTAGAACAAAAATGTAAACTATTTACAATGTATTTCAAAAATGCGTTTGATAAATTCCATAAAAACTGTATTTTTATTAAAAAAAGCATTCAATTAAACAACTACAAATGATTTCTACCAAATATTTTTTTACAGATTCTCCCTTTTTCCCGGCATCTTTTGAATGTTTCACTTCGAAACCAAAATAATTCATCATGATTGAATAGAATATTTAGTTCCAGTTAACATATTACAATTTCAATAAACCAATAATCTGCATCTGATATAAATTGAAGACATTGTTACTCGACATCAACTGATGATAAATAATCATTTTAATTCCTTTTTGGTATTTGGATTCTCACATTCTTTCTTCTGGATTTCGCGTCAACGACAAGTTGAGCTTGTCGTTTCAAATAACCTCTTGAAGGTACTTCTTCTTCATCCTCAGATCCTGAAAAAGTTAAAACGACAATAAGAAATGATCAGTTGAGATGGATGTGTTAAACACAAAATAACTCATTTGTTCAAAAAAATTGCAACTACAAGGTTGTTTCAAAAGTTTTGTCCGTTTGAATATCATGTGTTTTTGTAGCTCCATATCTCAATGAATATTTATTTTACTGATGGAGAATTTTCTGCTCTATTCATTGATGATGTTGATTTTTTCCAATTTTTTTTTGTCTCTTTTAAGCTTATTATTATATGACGTCGTTAAGCCTTTTGTCCAATTTTTCTCTATGAATTGAAATTGGATCAAAACGCTGTTTAAAAAATCTGTTTTTCCGTTAACCCGCTGTCGCACCCTTACGAACGACAACCCTCAGAAGTCGAAACTTGTGTGAGCTAAGGATTAACGAGGTCTTACCTTTTAACGTGTTATTCCTAACACGGGTTGGATGATAGCAAGTGAAAATCGATCGTTCAGACTAGGGCTTGAACCACCGACCAACACGGCAGTCAATTCGAGTGAGTGCATAAAGCACCCACGTCGAACCGGCTGGCTACCGACCTACCATGCCGACGCTGCCGGCATATTTGCAATGATAGTGTTAATGAACGCAGTGTTCGAAGTTGGTTTGCAAAATTTCATTCCGGAGATTTACGCCTCGAAGATAAGCCCCAAAATAGTCGAACTACGGTAATCCAAGACGAGGATTTGAAGACCCTGGAGACTGACTCATCGCAACGGTGGGTGGGATGGCAGAAGAACTAGGTTTCAGCTCCCATACGGTTTTGGATGGTCTAAAACGCATTGGAAAGGTCGAAAAGTGGGTGTCCCACGATTTGAATGACTGACGGAAATTGTCACGTTTTGAAGTATGTTCTTCTTTGCTTCTATGTAACCAAAACGTTCCTTTTTTGGATAGGATCGTCACGTGTAATGAAAAGCGAATCATCTATAATAACAGGAGATGTTCAGGACAATGGTTGGACACTGATGAGCTACTCGGCCACTTCTTCAAAACAAAAAACCATCAAAAAAGGTCATGGTTACTGTATGGTGGGCTGCGGTTGGTGTGATTCACTGTAATTTTCTGCAACCGGGCCAAACCGTCAAAGCAGAGTCTTATTGTGACGAAATCGACAAAATATACCGAAAATTGCGTCAGCAGCAGCCGGTACTGGTCAACAGAAGAAGTCCGATCATGGTCCACAAACCCGCCTGTTGCACAAATCATCGCCAAAAATTAAACGAACTGCGCGTCAAAGTTCTGCCTCACCCACCATACTTCCCAGACCTCTCGCCAACCGACTACCATCTTTTCAAACACTGCGATAACTTTTTCACCGATAAAACCTTCGCCAATCAGGACCATGCAAAAACGGCCTTCGTCGACTTCATTGAATCCCGAGCACGTAATTTTTATGCTGCTGGTATTAATCGACTTGTGCACTGATCCAAATGGCGTTAATTTTGATCAAATTGAATAAGTATTTACAAAACTTTTGAAACCACCTAATAGTTTCGAAAAACATATTTCTTGGAATAGTTTTTGCCCTCATCTTTTGAGAACAGATGAATAGAACATTCAAAACTAATCAGCCAAGCGAAACGCGAGTCTAGAAACAGTTCTGGCGTGGAAAAAGTTTTTTCAATAAATTCATTTTATGCTAGAGGTTCCGATTCTATCTATTTAACTATCCTTGTTTTCACATAAAATGTTTCAAATAATTATTTATGAGAAAACTTGACCAAAGAAGCTAGCCATTGAAACAAAGCTTTTTTTCACAGAAGTTCTGTTCACCAAGAATGGTTTCAATAACCAACTAATTTCATATACATTGGAAATTAGTAAGAACTTCATACATTCCGAATTTATTTTTCACTGGAAGATTCGACTGAGAATTTCATTGAAAATAATGAAAATCAAACTATTGGTGAATTATGAAAATCTTGAATATTTTTTGACAATGCTACAAGTGCTATCTAGGAGTTGTATCTTTTGTGTAGTATATAGTGGAAAGATAAGTAGAATCACACCATTCTCCTCAGCTGATTATATAACATCTAGACAATTATCCATGATCCACAGCACTTTGGATTCGAACAAAATTTTCGTATGACAAATACATTTAACATAAATTTCGTTGTTGATCCATCCAAATGGTAAAGAGCTTGTAAAATAAAGAATGAAGCAATACCTTCAAGTAGTTGAAGCGTCAAATCAGTGTGAAACCATGGAACCTCTTTGTACTACTTGTTTACAAACCTGGTGGTGGTGGTGGAGCTGGTGATGTACCTGGTTGTGGCAGAGGGGTCTTTTTAATCAAACCAGTGTAAGGTGCAGGCAACCATTTTTCTTCCAGCGAATCAATACCTTGTACCTATGGACATATAACCAATAACCTCTAGTATTAATGTATCGCTAAACTTGGCACTGGCAGTGCCTTCAAGCGGGATTGGACCTAGATACAGGTGAAGCAGATACCATCCCATCCCTGTGGAGGAGGGGTGGGATAGTATCTGAGCAGTAAAGAGTAAGGAGGGTTGAATGATTCTGAAAATCTTATCTTCATAATCCTAGATGTATTTTGTTTGAACCCTCAATCCCTTGGCTGAGCTTCGTTTTGGAAAAGTCACCCGTTACCTATTGAAAATCAATAACACTATTCATGACGATAACTACAATTTTTTTTATTTCCTTTAGGTACTGGTGGACCAGTCCGACTGAGGAAACTACTGTTGTAGTGAAACGTTTATTGGAAATAGTCCAGATTGTAAAAATTTGTAATTATTATCACAAACCATTAATGCTGCGGTTCTCTAAGTAACTCATATCCAATGACGTTTATTCAATGACATTAGTTTTGAATTTATGGAGAAAAAAATCAATGTAAACTTGTAGTAGTTGACACTTATTTCTCCAGGACTGAAAAAGTCTATTGATAGAAACACCAGGAAAAAATACTCAAAATTGGGAAAACTGCCTCTACGATTCCAGCCATTTTATATGATTAAAAAAACACGGTCACTCTATACTATTATACAGCACTTTACCTTACTCACATGAAATCAATTAATTAAATGCCAATGAAAAAAAGTAATTTTGGTTCAGGAATACGTAAGAAAATTTAAAGAAATATTGATAGAAATTGAAGTAAAACATCAGTAGGTACTTTATAATTCAATTAATAATTTGAAAAACAACCAATACCAGAGGGATACACAACATACTTAAAAAGTAAAATAAAACCAAATCAGTTTGTCAAAATCCTAAATATTCCCCAAGTAAAAATCTCAATAAAGAGTCTAAATTCTCCAAAAAAGTTGGCCGGAGGTATAGTTCAGTATCACGTGGCAGGTGAATATTTAATTTTCACTTCTCCACATATTCCAATTTTTCCAATCCCATATCAATCGGTCAAGTTTCCAATATGAATTGGCCAACTCTAGCATATCCTTCTATTACAAGAAGTAAAGTGGGTATATAGGTAATGCTCATTGCACTTGTTATTCCCAAATTTTGCAATCTGATTAGTTTGTTGCTTGTACCACCAAACAAAAGATGTGTAGGTATATTATCATAGGTTCAACTACCATTTTATAGTCCGAAGTTTTTGCGTACGTGCTTCTGATCTGCAGACGCAGGTCAGACGCCTTTCTATCTTTTCTAGATGTTTGGAGGTTCCCAACTATCAAAGCAGAAAAAAACTTCTTCATTTGTGTAAGCATATTTTGCTTCAAGTGTGGTCCAACATAAATTCGATTTCGTTGGTATACCTGACCTGTACCTACGCAAACTGGTCTCGTAGCAGTGGTCTGTAAGCCAATGATAATTACTACTAGTATATCTGTCAACTAGTTTTCCTAATGTTCAACAAAAGATGGTGCTAATCAGTCTCCATGTCTTTGGTAAACCAAATTTACTCCCAGGATGACTTTAGACTTTATAGTTTTGAAAATAAATCTCCGATCCATTTTGCAGCAATACTGAATAAAGGTCGTGTAGTCCTGGCGATATAAATGATTTTCCTCTTTCTTTCGTGCATTTCTCCAGCATACATTTTCAATATCATTCAGTGTTCTGTGATTAGAAATGGAACAAAATATTACGAAGAACAAAATTGATAGCTCAATTTGAATGTTTCATTTGTTACCTTAAATTGTTTATAAAAAAGGATGAGAATGAAAATATTTTCATTACTTTAACAGAGATCTGTTTTGAAGCCTTTTAACAATAAACTAAATGATATCTGAATTTTTTCATATTTGTATTTTATGTGTTTAAACATAAGTTTTTCTGAAAAGGAAGCGGTTCGAGCGGGGCTCTCTGGAGCGTCACTATCCGTTTTTAGCCCTATCTTCAACTCGAAATTAAACTAATGAAGTTCAAAGTGTCGGAACTTTTTTGCAGGAAATTTCTTTCTCGAATCTTGTTTCATAAATCGAATATTTGCAATACTTCTCAAAATATTGGCTAAAAACGAAATCTTTTTATTTTTCAAAAAAAATTCAAAGTTCCATGATGCCACTTGATCATGATTTTCGATGAAGCTGAACGAAAAATCGTTATAAAAACTTGTTGCTAAGACTAACAGGAACTGAATAGATTCATGGTGTTTATTGAAGTGAATGGCTGAAAGGCCTTAATATCCTCTACAGCTTCACTTTTATAGATTAGGTTTGAATGGAGTTGACAATATTTTTTGTTTTATGTTAGAGATTCAAATTACATTGTCTAGAAATGGATTTTAATGTAGAGAAACGATCCTCTGCTGATGCAACACCCTCTGTAAGTGAACACAATGTTTATAAACCCAAAACAAACAAGTTGGTTGCTGAAACGCACGCCAGAAGTTTCAATATTTATAAAACCATTTGAATTACTCATTACATTTTCTGAAAGATTTCAGAGCACAATGAGCAAAATAGCTACATTTTGTATCAAGTGACTAACTCAAAACTTGAATTTTATTGAAAGTAAATCTGTATCATACGGAGTCTTCATATACAAAACAAAATGGAGAACTAATCGGTATTTTGAGTATTCCGAATTGAAATCAAGTAGGTACAAAGGTTGTATTTGACGGAAAACATAATATAAGATATTTTGATTATTACCCACTTTCACCCCATGGACTGCTAATACCATCAATGCAAAAAAATTGTAAGCAATATATGATGCAAATTGCAATGTCACCTTTTCGTCAGTTCCAATTAGAATATCTTCGTCTCCTGTTTTCTCGAAAATGGATAGCAGATTCTCATTGATCTGTTGGAGAATAATCAGTCCGTCGCTTTGAGGAACAGCTAGTGGATTGATAGACAGATAAAGGCTTTGCAATCCAGTTTTCACGGATTCTAGTACCTCACATTTTTTTGCCATCTCTTCACGACAGATTGCAGAACGTTCTCTATTCTTCTCAATTTCTTTTTTCATCTCTTCCATTTCTCCACTTTTTCTAAGAATTAATGACAAATAATGGATCCGTTGAAAAATTGTAATAAATTTAAAACAGATCTGATAAGAAAATTTGTGTTGTTATTTTATACTAAACTCGGCATCTTGTTCTAGTTCGTAGAAAACTAAAGCTCCTTATAGTTTATTACTGCATAAGTCAACAATTTTTCATTGATCTTGTATTATTTATTTTTCAGATTATGGATGTTGGAAACACTCGGAAATATCATGAAACACATTTATTCGTAAAAAATATGTTAAAAAATTTCAAGAGTTTATGAATAAATTTTCATGAAGGCTTTTTTTCAACATGCAGTGTCAAACAAAATAGATAGCGAGAAACAGAGATAGACACTTTTGCCAATCAAGTTGATTTGAAAAACGATCATTATCAAATACCTACCTATGTATTTTAAGTACTTTAAAAAGTAATACTCTCGTTTTCTGAGCTCCATCAAATGCCAAAAAAAAATTTTTAGAGAAGCAGGTGGTTGATAGATCCCAAATGAGTTTGAACTCAACCGTTTTTTATATAATCGTCATATATGTGATATACACATCAAAATACCTTTCAGCATCTTTGACTTCAACATATTTGAAGGAATCCAATTTCCTTCCTAGGTTTTCCAGTATATTTTCCAATTTCCTTTTTTCTTCCTCACCTTTACTTCTCAGGAATGTTAGCCTCTGTTCAGTTTTTTTCTGGGACTCAAACCGTTTCAACACATCTTCAGTACTGGTGCCACCTAAAATATTAATTATCAGCACTCAGGGCCGTAGCGAAAAGAAAAACCAGAGGGGAAAGGGGATCCAAATTTTCCCAACCCCACCAGCAAAATTTACCAAATTTTGAAAAAATGAAAGCCGAGGGATTAGTTACTACATAATATATTAATTTTCTTTTGATTCCAGTGGCGCATTTGCTTTTTCAGCTGCAGGAAAACCCGGAAAAACCTGCAGCACCACATCATCTGAAGATCTTGATCTGCCAATGTTATCTCTCTCATAAAACAAAATGTAGGGTGTCGCCAGAGGCTCTAATAAATTCAATACTTCGCCAGAACACTTAGTGACAGTGACACGACTATCGTCAAACTTAAACCAGTCTGTTTCGTTTTTGACCAAGGCGTAATAATGACCAGATTCAACGCCAGAACCACAGTGAATAATGACTGCATGAAGATTAAAATAGTGGTTTGCTAGATTGAAGTGTTCATCTATTTCGAACCTTCGTAAAAGTTTGGTGCTTCCGTCAGAGGTTGAGTCATGTTTAAAGATCATCAGTGTCATTACTAGATTGACTGGTGCCTCAGATATTCTAGTTTTCTTGTAACAGTCAGTTAGTTTGGCGCATGTTTGGTAATATAGTCGATCATCACCTGTTAAAAGTTCCATTTTCAGTTGATTCAAACAATAAGCTTTGCACGGACTGGTTATATTAGTCATATTAGGAAACGCTAGTTGAAGTTCCAGAAATTCACATACGTTTTTGCTACCTCTTAAACATTTACAGAAATGAACATAAAAAAAATATTTGATAACAGACATTCGCTAAAATACACCAAGTTCACAATTAGTACCATTCCCGAACAGTTTGCGTCTTTGCTCATTCATGTTTTTTATTCTGTACTAAATTTATTCATAACTTGTGTCACATATTGATATGATAGCACGATTGTGAGTACTAATAATCGAAACTTAGTGTAGTAGTTTGGTTCGAAATGTTTTTTTTTTAATTTTATTCATTCCCACATGCAATCGAATATAATGTAAGTATCATAAATACGGTTAGTCGTATTGAAGACTCTGAAGTAGTGGCTGCTTTGAAAAATAGCACAATAATGAAGTCTTCGATGAAATAATTCTTCCTCGAAATTTAAATTGACGGATCTGAATGATTTTCAGTTTTATCTACGATTTCGGAAATACATTAGAACCCCTGGAGTAAAATGAGTCCATTCAAAAAACTTTTACTACTGGTGTGGTGTGTGACGAGTTTAGTTCTGACACATTGTATGTGGGTAAGTGAAGGTCACCTTTGTTGAAAACTTAAATATCCGAATAGTTTCTGAGAAAAGAGCTTGAATTATCTGACATTTTAATACTGAGTTTTCCTTACATATAAATACCCCAAAATATATAAGATTCTAATGTTACCTGTAGCGTGTTTCAAAATTTCGAAAGCCTGTGACATAGATTCAACAGGATGTGGTGGTGTGGGCGATTTGTCATTTTCAGGAACTGTGTCCTCAGCTCCTTCTGGTTCAGGCCGTAATGGAATTTTACCGTTCTGAAAAATCTTTTTCTCAAGCCTTTCAAGTTCAGTTTTTCGTTCATTGACTAATCTTCTACCCTCCGTTGCTTCCTTTTCCCTAGAAGCTGCAGCACAATTAACAGTTTTTTCTTCTTTGAGCAGATTGCCTCTTGCTATACAACGCATACGGGTCGCTTCATCCATAATCTGGTAAATAGAAAAATTACTGACGGATCAAAAGTTTCCTTTTTTAAAAAAACAGTACATGAAATATTCAAAGATTTCATTTCCATACATTTCGAAAGGAATATTGAGAATACTTATTCAATAGTTTTTTCATTGAACTATAATTAGTAGACGCATTTTTCTTCATTTTCGATTTGCATACTCGGTTAGAAAAAAGAAACTAAGTACATGAAGTTTCTATCGTATACGTAGGAGGATACGTAGATACGAAAAATGTTGAATTCATGATACAGCTTCTGAAAGTGATCACTTATAAAATTTTATGTGTTTACAATGGAATTAACCATTGCTTGATGGAATTCATTTAAACTATGAGATTTTTCACTCGATAATTAGCACAAAAAAGCATGACAGTATAAAATAATAGCTTTTTTCCACCAAAACACCAATAAGCATACGCAAAACAAGAGCTCAAAATGACTAATTTCCTACACCCGTGTGAAATTTTTTTGCACTGTTCAGACTGTGAAAAATATAGCCTACTTGATATCTTATACGTAGACCGACATTTATGCTGCAAAAGGCGCCTTCAAAGCAACAATAAACTTTCAGTAGAGCTGAATCAAGGTGGCGATGGATTTTTTCCCATTTTTGTTTTCAATCGGTCGAAAGTATTTTCAAGTAAAGAATTTTTTAGTTTTCCATTTCTCGATAACTGAACAAAAAATGCAGAAGACCTAATCTGCATTTTTTGTTCAGTTATCGAGAAATGGACTTAAAAAATGAAAGAAGACTGTAATGTTGTGTAACAAATAAGTGATCCGTCTTCTAAAGTTATTCAAAAACGGTGTTGATGAGGAGATGAGACATCTTCACCCGAAACTTCGAAGAATACTATTAAGGATGATAGTGTTCCATGTGAGTGAAATTTCGTATCGATTGCTCTTTTATATATAGGGTCTTCCCACGGGGATTTCCGAACTTTGTTAATAGTTATATATAGGTATCTATCAAATTAGTTGTCATTTATTCAATCTGTTTTACCAAGTCACCATGGGTGAATATAGCATTCAACAACACGTGCAAATAATAAAATTGCTTTATCAAAATGGGTATTCTGTTCGGGCAACGTACCGCGCGCGTGCTTCGCCCATTTTACGCCATAATCGTCCTACCGAGAGGACTATTCGTAAGGTGGTGGATAAATTTGAGTCCACTAGTTCAGTAAACGATCGACCAACACCCGAAGGCCGACAAATCGCAAGATCTGCCGAAAATATGGCCGCTGTCTGTGAGTGTGTGCAGGAAAATTGGAGGAGTCGATTTCGCGTCGCTCACAATAACTCGACCTTTCGCAGATTTCAACTTGGCGAATTTTACGTCGTGACTTGGGCATGCACCCGTACATAATTCAACTCACCCAGGAACTGAAGGTAAACGACCTTGAACAACGACGTGTGTTCGCTAAATGGGCTCTGGAGCAGTTGGCAACTGAGCCTTATTTTCGTCGAAAAATCATCTTCAGCGATGAGGCCCATTTCTGGATGAATAGATACATGAATAAACAAAATTGTCGAGTTTGGGACGATACCAATTCATATGAGATTCAAGAACGTCCAATGCATCCCGAAAAAGATACTGTTTGGTGTGAATTTTGGGCTGGCGGTGTCATCGGTCCGTATTTCTTTGGTAAAATTAAATGTTTTAAAAGTTCGTTTGCCGATCAATAAAAAAAATAATAATGAAACAACTTCTCTATTTAATATTTATTCGTAACCAGATACTGTGATTGTATTTGCTCAATGGAACTTACCGTTTGCAACTTTTGTATATCATTCACCTGTGTGTTCAATTCCTCCTCTAACTTACTTATTTTACTTTCGAAATTATCCGAATCTTCTTTGAGGGATTTTTGAATATCAGCATATCTATTCTTAACATGGATTGCTTCTCGTATTTGAACGTCTATAGCGTGAATGCTGTTTTGTAATTCACAGGTTGTCTGAAATATTTTTCAAGAATTTTACTATTGATTTCATATGCTTCTAACAAAAATACTTTCTTAACAGGTTGTTCCACTTTTTTATTGAGTTCTTTTTTTTCCTGTTCGCCTAATAACTTTTGATATTTTGTTGCTAGTTCT